GAAAGAAAGAAAGAAAGAAAGAAAGAAAGAAAGAAAGAAAGAAAGAAGGAAGGAAGGAAAGAAAGAAAGAAAGAAAGAAAGAGGCTCAGTTGGTAAAGGTGTTTGCCTTTCAAGCATGAGAACCCGAGCTCAATTCTAGAACCTACACGAAAGTGCTGGGTACACCGAGTCCACTTGTCATCCCAGCACTGGACAGCTGCAAGCCTGGGCTCACAGGCTAGCCAGCTTAGCTTTAATCTGTGAGTTCCAGGCCACCCTGCTTCCCAAAGCCGAGGAGGATTCCTGAGGAACAAACCGGAAGTTGTCCTTGGGCCTCCACAGTCACACACAGGTGCACCTATACACCCACAAGAGTGCTCATGTGCACAGAGAGATAGAGAGACAGAGACAGAGAGAGCAAGAGAGCAAGAGGGAAAGAGAGAAAAAGAGAAAGAGAGAGAGACTATAATATGAGGATGCTGGGTCCAAAACTTAAATCAAGTAACCCATTCATTCATGTCTGAAAGACAAAAGCATCACGTAGGCCCGAAGCAAAGGTATCTAGAATCTCCAAGTGACCTCACAGAGCAACTGGCTCCCTCTGCACTGGAGAAGCACCCAGCAAGCCCTGAACCTCAGGATGAGCTGTTGAACTCCTGACAATTGTTGCAGCAGCTAGGATGACCCCACATCTGCACAACTCGAGAGGTTTCACCTTCCCAGAGAACCAACAATCATGTGCATGCTCTGCTCTCTAGACTCAGCTAGAATGTGGAAACTGCACGTGTAATTTTAGCCATCTGAGGTTACTCCCTCCTAATTTCAACTATTTATATTTGAAGGTCACATGCAGATTACACTCTCACAGCCTTGAGCCACCGCAGTTTCTGAAAACAAAATTCTCAGACACAATCAAAGAAACGAAGGAGGAAGCAAGGCACATGCCTGCGCAATACATGATTAGGTCACCTGACTCTTCATGGATTTTTATTTGTTCCTTATGAAATCTCTCTCTCTCTCTCTCTCTCTCTCTCTCTCTCTCACACACACACACACACACACACACACACACACACACACACACACACTTTCCAGTATGCTTTGCAAGTGAATTGTTGTAAAGAGACCCTTTTCCTCTGTCAGCACTATGGCTGGGCTGCATCCTAAAAATGTCCTCTACAGCATTCTGTTCTGATCCCAGAAAGGTCAGCCTGCTTGAATGTATTTGGAAAATGTTAACATCACTTTCTCCCCAGGAGCAAAGACAAAGGAGGCGGCATGGCTGTGGGAAGCTCAGCAGATGCAGGAATGGCCAGGGCAAGAGGATGGAATGTGGAAGGCCCATCTTTGATTGGTCCCCAGCCACCGCCTTCGGTTCTCAGCTTTATTAGAAATAATGAGGTGAAATCTTACACTTGCCCTTGGAGAAGATCCAGAGAGCATTAGATTCTATCAAAGAACAAAGCTAATTGCATCATTTGGGGGATTCATAGCTCCTTTTTCCGTTTTTATTACCATCCCATGAGAGAAATGTTATTAGCTACCTTTGGGACAGCATAAAATACAGCTATCACCATAGTAACCGAAACACTGCATTTTTCGTTACTGAGGCAGCTACAAGGTATGGTTTGCATTAAGAAAGCGATTTTAATTCCAGCATTCTTTAACTTCAAAAAGGTATTTATTTGAAGCATGGAAGAGTAAGAGTTGGACATTTGGTCCCAACGTAATGCCTCAAAATATCACCAGGTCCCCGACGGACAGTTTTTTGAGCGTTAATGAATCAGATTACTGCTCACAATACATCCAAGAAGCTAAATAAATTAGGTCTGAGGAGGTGAGTCAGTGGGAAAGTGTTTGCCACGCATGTGTGAGGACTTGAATTTGAATCTCTAGAACCACAAGAAAGCTAGAGACAATAGCCTAATTCTGTAACAGCAGCATTCCTACAGCAAGATAGCAGAGACAAGGAAATCCCAGGAAGCTCACTGGACAGGGCCTCAGACAAGGCAGGAAGCGAGACTGACAACCTCTGAGCTCCACAAATGCTCCCTAGCATACACACACACTTTCTTTCATGCACATGAATACACACACACACACACACACACACACACACACACACACACACCTCCCATACTCAGATTTTACAAATGAAACTGTACCAAGCACTTTCCTGTGTGGCCACAGTCACTGGCTCCTCAGTGGCATTCTCCTGGTCCCCATCTGCTGACTGCCTTGGACAGTAATTGTTTACCGAGTGTCCCTGGATGTTAAATAGTCATCTTCCTAATTAGAGAACTCCTGAAGGCAGGAGCCAACACTGTGTCGCCAACATCTCCAACAGCAACTTGCATTTAGCCATCTCTTAAATCTCTTAAACAGAAATGCAATATCATGGTTGGGAGACATGTCATCCTGGGAAAAATTATGAAGACTCTTTCTGTTCATTTGCTACACAGCTATTCTCTTTCTTTTCCAAGATGAGCGACTGTAATGCAGCCGGAAAACTGTACATAAGAAACATTTCCATGACACGTTTTATGAGTATGCTTTCCTCATCCATTTTCTTTAAGTCTTTTGGTTTGGTTTTCAGTGTATGATTCAAAAACCTTACCTGTGTCAAGAATTAACACGGGCAGCTCACTGTTGAGAGGTAGGGTATTAAGTCCACAGCATAGCAAAACTTCCTTGACTTTACTAACATTGAGTTTAAGTGTGAACACATGCATCCAGTTACAACGGTTCTGAAGTCTGTTCTCTATCCTCTCTAGGGCATTTCTTCACGAATCTCCTAATGCCTTGAGTTTGCTTCACTTCAGATTTCTCCCATCACTTTGATTTGCAACTTTGGCCCACACATTGACCTCAGAATCTCATCTTGGTGCTTGTTCATCTGGTCAACTTTGGTAGTCAGATACAATTGATGATTTGCCTACAAGGGATTATTTTATTGATCTAAAATTTCGTCAGTGTTGTAAGTGTTTTACCATGGCAGTATATGGGGCATATTATGAATCTTAAACACCATTTTTTTTTGAGACAGGGTTTCTCTGTGTAGCCTTGGCTGTCAGGACTTGCTTTGTAGACCAAGCTGGCCTCTAGCTCACAGAGATGCCCCTGCCTCTACCTCCCCGAGTGTTGGGATTGTAGGCATATTCCACTGTACCTGGCTCCATCACTATTTTTATGCTCAACCCAGAGACCATTGAAACCCACACAAACTTCCTCTTGTAATCTGCCTGAATAGTTAGCTCTGGTAGGGTGGTGTGAAAACCTTCACTGACTTGTGCAGAAAAAAAACCCTACACATTGACTGTTGTATTTCTTAATAGAATAAGGACAACAAAAGCTTGTGGAGGTATGAATAATGCCATCATTTTGTAAAGTTCTGGGATGAAAATAACATATTAACTACAAGTGCCTTTGTTGTTGTCTAAGAAATTAGAGTCTCACTGTTATCCCAATGGCCTTGAACTTGAGATCTTCTTGCCTTAGCCTTCTGCAACAGCCCCTTTAATTGCTGTCTCCCCACCCCCATCCCAGTACAGTGGGCTTTCTCCACTTATGTCACCTTGGGTTTGGGAGCAGATTGGTTGCTAAGGAACTGTCCTGTTCACTATTGGAACCCATGCTGAGTTTTCCAGACACTGGCAGCAGAAGATGAGATTTGGCTCCCAGGATGCAATTCCTCATTTCTCAGTCAATTTGAAGCCAAACCACATGACTGCAACAGTGATGATCCAGCTTTCGTACTAGGACCTGAGCCTTTGAAGCCAATGATTCTATAGGTTAGGAGTGAAGTGACTGTGAGGTATTTATTTCCATGGCTGTGAACCCTGGGAACTTGTGCACCAAAAAATTGTAAAATCTGTTGATATTAGCTGTCCCTCAGCGAGAATTAATGCTAGTGTAGAAAATCTGTTAGGAAGGCATGGCAACAATCCAGCCTTTTCTGGGAGCAACATGTGAGTATACACTAGATAGACATTTGCTCCCCTTGGTCAAAATTGGGATTCTGATATGTCACCTGGCTTATTTGATTGTCACTTTTGATTATGAGAAGAGAGAGAATGTCCTTCTAAAATGCCATGGTGATATTAGAATTTCTGTTAGTTGGGGTCTATGTGCGTGGGTGTGAGTGTGTGCATGTGTGTGTGCGTGTATGCATGCATGTGTACGTGTGTTCACGTATATGTGTGTGTGCTCATGTGTGTGCATGCAGGTGGGGTGTGTGTGTGTGTGTGTGTGTGTGTGTGTGTGTGTGTGTGTGTGTGCTGGGAAATACTAGTCCAGATGCTAGTCTAGGATCCAGCACTGGGGAACAATGCTAGTTTAAGTTCTGACTTTCATTTTAGTATTGGAACTAGGTTGTCTAAGTTCAGGATGCAGTCTTCCTAATTGTCCAACTAAACTGTGTCTCCCGTGGGACTGAGAGGATGAAATGAGACAATCAGAACTAAGCAGCTTACATGGGACCATATTACAGTGAGCTGTCAGCATTGGTTAGCATTATTTTATAGAAAATCATCTCTCTACAAATCTTTGGCTTTTTATTAAATGCCTTTAATTCAATGTTGTCATAGAAACTAAGAATTCTTCTCTCCAGGTTTGCTTCTTAAAAGGAGATGAAATCTCAGCTGTGGTCAAAGGGCATGCCGCAGGGCTGCTTCTCATCCTGATGCTTGAATACAGCTTCTGTGCTCTGCTGTGACAGACTGACCTTCTTGTCTGCCTACTCGGCCTGCCCAGAACATGCCAACTATGCCAAGCCTCCCTCACCTCTGAATGTGTCCTCACACTGTAGTCCTCCTTTTCTCTCCCACAGCATATTTGAGACTCTTGATACAATGCTCACAGGCTTTCTCCTCCTTTAAAAAATTCTGTGACAACCCCTACCCCCGCATCCCCTGATCCCCCCAAAAAGTAACAGCCTAGATAGAAGCCATTGAAGAGAACTCTTAAAAATTATGATAAGGATGCTCCAGCGAGTATATGAGTAACACAAATTGGACTTCTTTTTCTTCTTCTTCTTCTTCTTCTTCTTCTTCTTCTTCTTCTTCTTCTTCTTCTTCTTCTTCTTCTTCTTCTTCTCCTTCTCCTTCTTCCCCTTTCTTCTTCTTCTTCTTTGGGGAGGAGAAGTCATAAGGGTAGGGGGCAGATGTGGAAGGACTAGAAGTGAGTGTGTCTGGGGTGCATTATATGAAATTTCTACATAATCAATAAAATATTATGGAAAAGAATCTCAATTGTGCAGAATCAGGCATAAAATCAGCAAGGTGCCTACACGCAAGCATACGCACATGCGCGTACACACACACACACACACACACACACACACACACACACGATTGTATAATATATAAAAGAACTTGAACATTCCTCTCAATGTAAGATCAACCAAAAAAAAAAGACGTTTTGAAGATTCAAAGAATAATTTCAGTTATTTTAATGGCTTTGGAAACACAGGGACATTATGTGGTGGTTTCTTCCACCCATGGATAGGCAGCTTATGACTTAAGAGCCATTCATCACCCAGTCCTTGTCACCGCCTTTCCCCATTGGTTCTCAGTGTGAGTCACATGCTTTGGGTTTCTTTGAAAAGATCTGTGTAAGGTCTCAGCATTTCATGGGCATCTCCCACATCCCACAGAAGCTGTGCTGAGTTCCCTCATCCATCACAATGAGCAACAAATTCCTGGGCACCTGGAAACTTGTCTCCAGCGAGCACTTTGACGACTACATGAAAGCTCTGGGTGAGAAATACTCCACAGCGAATGTCCCTTTAAAGAAAGATGCACAAGATTTCCCTCTAATGTTTTCCCCCCACAGGAGTCTGCGGAATGTTGCGTGGGCTGAAATGCAATCCCTCTGTCATTCATAAAATTTACTTCCACTTTGTTGGTACTAAATTGTTAGAACTTAAATGAAGCTATTTAAATGCATGGAACTTGAAGGCAGGTTCACAGGTTTGTCACTGGAGATTTGCGGAAAAAATATTATAATTTAAGTCAATCCATATTCTGGGATTTTCTGAAAGGCAGTTTAATAGAAATTAATGTGCACATAAGAGTAAGAGTTAAATACCAGGAAACGACAACTTAAAATTTTAATCTTTATCCAAACTAAAAATTATTTTTCTTTCTCTGCCTTGAGTTTGTCCATTATTAAATAACAGTGTAAGTGTGTGAAGCTTGACAAATGAAACATTTCCTAGATGAAGATTTTGTAACCTGTGGAAGTTCTGCTATCAAAAGAACTGGTTGACTACAGTGAGTCTGAACTCAGTCACACTAAATCTGCACATCCCGGTGTTGGAAGACAGAAAAGAATGATGGACAGTTTGGTTTGGTTTGTGTTTTCACCAGGCATATTTCAGAACTACGAAATGTCAGAAATGAGATTCTACCAAGAATCTGATGGGGGTTGTTCTGTATATCCATAGCTCCTACTGACAAAGAAGATATTACAGAAAGGTGTGTGTGGAGGGGAGATAATCTCATTGGAAGAAGCTATAACGTTTGCAAATACAAACTAAAATATCTTTAATGTATCACACAAATCTGAAATAACTTATTTTATGCTGAGGGTAGCATTGGGCATGGCCAAGTGGACAAATTGAACTCCTGCAAATGAATAGTTTTATTTTGCAATATATAGGCATCACTGTTGTAAGACTACACTAACACGTTTGTGTCACTAACATGCATTTTCTCTCACTGGGGAAACGTACAAGGAAGTCCTTGGTAGGAAGTCCTGCCATCTACTCATTGAAGGTACCGCTGAACACAGAATACGGCCACCACCGTCCCTCAGACATGCTGTTTACCCTACACAATCTGACCTCGCCTTGCTTTTCAGGTGTGGGGTTAGCCAACAGAAAACTGGGAAATCTGGCTAAGCCCAATGTGATCATCAGCAAGAAGGGGGATTATCTGACCATAAGAACTGAAAGTGCCTTTAAAAATACGGAGATCTCCTTCAAGCTGGGCCAGGAGTTTGAAGAAACCACAGCTGACAACAGGAAAACCAAGGTAATATGTAATATTTTTCCCTGAAAGTTGTTCCATTGACTATCGAGAGGCAGGATTATTTCTTTTAGGATTTATAGGGGGCGGGAGGAGAATGAATGTGACTTGTTGAGACATAGGTCACAGAAGTTGAGGCAAGCCAACGACACGAACTTGTCTTTGCAGAGCATCGTGACACTGGAGAGAGGCTGCCTGAAGCAAGTGCAGAAGTGGAATGGTAAAGAGACAACCATAAAGAGAAAGTTGCTGGATGGGAAAATGATTGTGGTAAGAATCTTCCCAGTTCTCAAGACAGAAATGATGCCGTACAAATACATTGATTATGCTTCTTTCAAAATGTTTCTTGTTATTTAGAATACAAATTGGCAATAATGCCAAGAATAAAGTCAGTTAGTTCTTGAGTGGAAAACCATGTAAAAAAAATTATGTTTGAGTCTTACACATATTAGGTCAAGATTTTTAAGTAGTAGTATCTATAAATAATAAAGTTAACGAAAATATGGATAAATGTCATTTGTTTAAACTTACAACCAAAAAAGTAAGCCTATACTTCAAAAGTAAAATATAACCCTGACAGGCTCAATTATAGAATGTTTGTAGTAAAAGCGCTTTACTCTCAGGAGTAGTTAAGAACTTATAATATCAAAAAATGCAATCTGAGCCCTAAGCTCTGGAGACCTTTTTTACTTAACAGATCAGTATGAGGAAAGAGTCCACAAGGTGGACCCTAAGGAAATGTCAAGACAGTGGCTCAGTGCTCAGGAATGAAAACACATTAAATATACACACAGTCCTCAACTGTGTGAATATTTCTTTTAGCGTGTAGTGTGTCTTAGCTCTTACTGGACAATAGATGGACATAGGGTCAGTTATAACATGGGGGCCTCATTCTAGGTCAACCCAGACAAATCTCTTAGGAAATGTATTTGACTGCTCTCTGGGTAAGGCAAACATGAAAAACACTTTTTTATATTAGTCACTATTCTCCTCGTGATCAAAACCAGATAAAAGAGCGTCTTCAGAGATAAGAACTAATTTTGACCTGCAGCTAGAGGAGATACCACGGAGAGCAGAAAAGCTGCTTCAGGCTGGTGGTCATGAACATCAGGTTGCAAGGAAGGATAGACATTAATGCCAGGCTACTTCCTCTGTCCTAGTCTAAGGCCACAGGCCGTGGAATGGCACCTCTCTAATTTAGCATGTGTCAGGTCTTCAGGTCTCTCCACCTCACTTAACCCAGTGTAGGTTCTCCCTCACAGATGTGCTGGGAGGTTTGTTTGTCTTTGTGATGGATGGTTCTAGCTCCCACAAAGCTGACAACCAACTTTAAACATTATAACTGTGAAAATTTTCTTAGATTTAAATGCACCTGAACTATGCACAAAATTTCTGCTTAATAAAAAATTATGTATAGTATGAGATTGATTTTAAAAGCTTTTCACAAATTTCAGTGATCATAATTGTGACTAGCCAGAGAGTTGGCATATAGATATTTTATTCCTTTCTAAATGTAATCTTACAAGTTTGTTGCAAAGAGCTATTTTACTGCAAATGTCCTGCTCTCTAACTTATATCCTCTTTTAAGGAATGTAAGATGAAGGGTGTGGTCTGCACCAGAATTTATGAGAAGGTCTGAGAAAATCGTTGTGCTCGCCTAAGAATGGGAATCATTCAGCAAGACTGGAGGACACTGCAGTCTGGTTTTTGCATTTGTCATAACATGTCTTATAGGGAAAGGTTTAAATTGAGAATTAACCTAAAATGTTAATTTAGACATTTTCCATTTTCATCCATGTCTTCATATGTTAATCCTTCCATATTGACCAGACACAAAGACATCCCATAAAAATCGCTGTCTGCTAAGTGACAACCTGGGCCGTTGATCGTACTGTTTGAAATAATGGTAAAAAGAAGAAATCAAATACACAAAAAAAAGTAAGAGCATTGTCCTGAACAGTGATAAATGTCTCCAGAGGTCTGCACAGTTATGAGGCAGGGGAAATCACAAATAGACAAAACAAGAAGAGCTGGGTTAAATTGGGGGTGGGGGGGAGTTCTACTTTCAGCAAACTGAAGCAGCCTCTATTCCATTTCAGCCAAAGCTTTGTAATCTACAAACAATGAGATACACAGCTATTATGGACACTGAACTGTTATGACGAGTACATGTACCTATGTACCTGTGCTTTCCAATTAATTAACACATTTCCTCATTCTCAGATAGCTTCTTCATCTCCCTCCCCAGGTAATATTTTGCTCTGCCTCAACATACCAGAAGCAAGGATGGTACTGATTTGGTTCTAGATTAGTTTTGCCTAAAATAGAACCAGACCTCGTGCATTCATTTCTATTTGCCTTTTAAAACTTAGCATGATGTTTTTCGGGTTCATCATCGTTGTCCCATGTAGTAGTATGTTTTTTTAATTACTGAGGATTATTCCATTGCATCACTGTATCTTTTTAGTTATCCATCCTTCTCTTGAGACAACTGGGTTATAACCAGTGTATGTACATGATGAATAAAGCCGTTACATTCTTGCACAAGACCTCATGAACATATGGCCTCTTTTCTGCTAGATAAATAAATAGTCATAAAATTACTGGATCCGGTAACCTTTGATAAGCAAAAATGAGGAGCTACTGTGCTTGTGTAAGAATGAAACTGTAACATATGATTGTGTAAATGATAATTGTGTGACTGTTCATGGCAATCAGATGTTCACAGTGGAAAAAGGAAAATACTAATACAGATTGAGAGAACGCAGAAAGAAACATTGAGAAATGCAGTGGAATCCTTGTAAATCCACGGTTTCTGTCATGGTGTGAATAATGCGATGGCTCTTACAGTCTCATGTGTTGAAATCCTGATCCCTTAGCTAGTGGTGTTATCTTGGGAGATGGTTAATAATAATAATAATAATAATTAGCAGGTGGGGTCTAGATGGAGGAAGATCACTGGAGTCATGCCTGTAGATGCTACTTTTCATCTACTTTATTTTATTTTGGTTTCTTATGCCTCTTTTCCCCCACTCCATCCCAACCCCTTCCAATACCCTAACACCAAGAGGAGAGAAAGAAGGTTAATGGGGACAGGGGGCAGAGTTCTCCTTGACTACTTCCAGCTGATTAGGGTCGTCAGTTCTCTGGGGGAATACCAATCTCAGTTGTCAGGGCTGCAGTCCACCAAACCAGAAGCCTTCTTCCTCTCTGACTGTCTCCTTGAAGCATCCTTTCAAATTGCCCTTTTCTCTCTCTGGGTTCTGGTATTACCCTCTCAGAGTCCTCAGAGTTAAACTATCTCCAGCTGGCAAAGAACACACCCCCTCTCTGAGCCTCAGAAAGCAATTATCAGTTGTGAACAGACTAAGGCAGTCCCATATCCCACACTTTGGATAAAAACAAAAACGTGTTTATGTAACATAACTGAGTTTTTAAAGAAACCAAAACTTCCACTATGAATACCTTTAAAGGTTGTCCCACATCTCCTTCCTTTTCTTACACTTCCTCTCTTCCTTGAGTTTGGGTTCCCTCTGCCTTATAGTCCAGTTGTGACGTTGTTCTGTGGCATCTCAGGCCCAGAACTAAGATAACTAACTAAACATTTTGAAGTCTGACTTCTGAAACTACCAGACAAAATAAATCCTATTCTGTTCTGGTATGGAAACTGCAATGTCTCTGGGGGACTTTGGTTCCTTTTAGTGAGAAGTGGCAATAGAGACCAATCCCTGAGTGCTAGGTGTGCTCATATTCCTAAGGTATTTATTTGTACTTCTTAGCTCTTTGGGGAGACAAAACTAGGAGACCCTAAGCATGTCTATACATATTTAATCACGCATTAGGTACATGCAGGCATCACATGCATAGACATGAAGTTGTACATGTACAGTTGTAGCTACTTATAAATGTACATAGAGCTTAAAAACTATTAGTCACACTTGGTCAGTGTGACAGAACCTCTGATATAAACAATGTGGGGGAGGATTGATTTATTTATTTTGTCTGGTCAGTGGTGAGTTTTCCAGCTGATTCCAAATCCTGTCGAGTTGCTAATGACATCACGGTCTTAAAGTGTTCTCACATAAGGAGAGAACACTTTAACAAACACTTATGTTTGTTCACATAAGGAACAAACAAACAAACAAACAAACAAAAGAAGCAGATCTGATGTCAAAACCAAACAGCCACTTGACCAGGCAGTCGAAATAAACCTCACCAATGAAGAGTAGACAAGCAATATGCCTTGCAAAGGAAGTGATGTCATCTATTGAACGTTGTTTATTCTCACACGTTCTAACATAGATACACGTGTGAGAATAATCATGAGAAAACAACCAAGAAATCCTTTTCAAAAATTTATTTGTTTCATTAATTACAGTTTATTCACTTTGTATCCAAGCTGTAGCCCCCTCCCTCATCCCCTCCCAATCCTACTCTCCCTCCCTCATCTCCTCCCATGTCCCTCCCCAAGTCCACTGATAGGGGAGGTCCTCCTCCCCTTCCCTCTGACCCTAACCTATCAGGTCTCATCAGGACTGGCTGCATTGTCTTTCTCTGTGGCCTGGTATGGCTGCCTCCCGCCCCCAGGGGGAGGTGATCAAAGAGCCAGCCTCTGAGTTTGTGTCAGAGACAGCCCCTGTTCCCATTACTATGGAACCCACTTGGACACTGAGCTGCCATGGGCTACATCAATCTCAGAAAGGACCCCTGTGCCCAGATGTTTTTTCTCTCTTTGTGGAACCCCTGTCCACTCCAGATCTTTCTATCTCTCCCTTCTTTCATAAGAAATTCTAAGTGGGGACTTTTGTATTTAAAAACTGAAGGCAGGTGTTGATTGAATTCTTCAAAATGTCAATGTCATAAAAGGTAGAGAGGTTGTGGGAACCTTCCAAACTACATTATACTGTAAATACATGGCAGCTACCTGCAGTGAATGATCCTGATGTGTCTTGTAGGAGAGCTATAGTAAATATGACAAAGGACATTAGGTCAGTCCGTGAGTTAGAGAACACATGGGGGATTGGATTATAGGGAACTGCGATTAAGGGAAAGGCTATCTCTATCCTTGAAAAATACATGACATTTTGGGTAATGACTTGTATGCATATGATTTAACCTCCAGTTTTCAGAACAGTATATGAGTGTGTTTGTATGTGCACACATACGCGTTCATAAAGCGTGACAAAGAAAGTGGGGTGAAATCAGGCAATAGCGTAATCTGAATGAAAGACATGTTTGTTTTCTATGAATTACTTTGTTTCTTATATGTTTGTTTTCTACCAATTAACAGGCTTCTCCCAAGTCCCTTGTAAGTTTAAAATTCTTTCCAAAGAAGGTGCTCTGTGCAAGCGTTCCTCTGCCTCTGCGTCTTCAGTTCACGTTTCTAGTGGGCATTATTAGCCTTGCATTTTTGTTTTTTGTCTCCTGCCAGGGCAACCCACAGTGGGTGGGGGGGAAGATTTGGAACTGTGCTCTTAGTTTTAGAGGTTTATGGTAACATGACTTGCCATAAAATGTATCCGTCAATAAATAAAATTACCCTGTTATACAAAAGCCCTGGGTACTTTTTACTTTCATAAGAGGAAACGTATGGCATTACTAATGAGGAAGAGAAAATAATCATTTCAAAAGGTTGTAAATGTTGCTAAATTTAAAAAATATTTCTCAACAGTCAGAAAGGGCGTGGGGTAGGGAAAACCTCGTATCCGAGCCCATTTCAGGTATTGCAGAAAATCCCCTATGTCGTATGTCATAACCACAGCAGAAACACACCTCGCACTGTTCCCAAGGGTTGAGGTCCTGGAGTTTTGTCCTAGGTGTAGGGCCTGTTTCCCCACTGACAAATGCGTCATTTGTCAGCTTCCTCACATAGTAAGAAAAGAGAATGGCCTCCCACAGGCATCTTTTATAAGGCACAAGTCCCTTTCAGGCAGGGTATTACTTGTTCATGGGCGATAATTATTTCCTAAAACTATCAGACCTGGGAATTAAGATTTCAAGATTATGAATTTGAGGAGAACACTTAAGGTTTGAATGTCCTCTGGCCTCCAAAGGTCCATCCACTAAAGTCTGGGTCCTCGGCTCATGGCACTATTAGGAGGTAGGTAGGGCCTAGTGGAAGATATTTCGGTCATTGAGGTGTCTCATTGATGAGTGTACTGAGGTTCTGGGCCTTTCTCACTTTCTTTGCTTCCCAGCCACCATGGGGTGGAGCTGTTTTGGTCCTCCACACTCTACCCGCCATGATGTTCTGCCTTGCCAATGAGACACACATCCAGTGGATCCATACCTCTAAAACTGTGACCCCAAAGCAGCACTTCCCTCTTTGAAGTTGGCTTATGTTAGGAGTTTGTCACTGACATGGAAATCCAGCTAACACAAACATCATCAGACTAACACTCAGGATCCATCATATTTAAAAATGGGTGCAACATATAATTTTGATCACCTTGTATTTTTTATATCATATTGTAGTGGCTGATTTAGGTGAAGTTTCCGATCCCTCTATACCAGTTGTAGTCTTGGATGGGGACACAAACACACACACACACATACACACACACACACATACACAGAAGTTTCTCAGTCTAAAAAGTATGTGAGAAAACATACTTCAAAGAGTTGTGAAAAATAAATAAG